GACACACAGAGCACCTCTGCTAATGTTTGGATAGGTAGTGTGGTCAAGAAATGGACCTTACTTATTTTAAGCTCCTGATATTTGGGAGAGGTTTATTACTCCAGAAAAATGTAGCCTGTTCTGACGAAGTAAGATTGGTTAAAACCATACCATAAGAAAGTGAATATGGAAATGGAATAGGGACTGAGCCAGTTGCTCAGAACTATCATGGTCGGAGATAAGAAGCAAATAAAGAATTTGATGGTTTTCTTATCACCATGGTAATATTGACACACACTTCTATCACATGCATTCTATTTTTTTGAATAGGTAAAAAAACATGCCCAGTGTACAAAACAGTATTCATACAAGAAAGACACCCACAGCTCTGTCTTCAGCCACAGCCAGACACCACTGCTTTGTGCATATATTCCATATATTCTTCTGTGGATTTACCCAAGTGGTAGTATAATATGTAAACAAGTACTTTTTTACTTGAAAATCTGAAAGTGATATATTGTAAATGATATGTATTTGCTTCTCAGACTCCATAACCATCTCTCTTTACTCCAGTGATGTTAGTGGATTTTAAAACTTATTGCCCTCAGGGCCGGGGATTTAGCTCAGTGGTTCTGGCGCCTGCCTCACAAGCTCAAGGTCCCGAGTTTGATCCCCGGTACCGACAAACAAAACAAAACAAACAAACAAAAAAACTTATTGCCCTCGTCTATAATGTACCACTATAACAAAATATCACAGGTGCAGAATTTATAAATAATAGAAACTTAATTCTCATAATTCTGAAGGCTGAGAAGCCCAAGATCAAGGTGCCAGAAGTTTCGTTGACCTCTTAGGGCAAAATCTTTGCCTCCAATGCAACACGTTGTGACTGTGTCCTCTGTAGTGAATGAGTATGATATCCTCACATGTCATAGGACAAGGAAAAGCAAAAAGGGCAAACCACTATGTGAAGCCTTTTTTGTAAAGTTCCCAGTCCTGTTCATGAGGGAGGAGCCCTCATGACCTAATCACTTCCTAAGTGTCCCACCTCCTAATCTTATTGCACTGGAGAGAGTTTCTGCATGAATTCAGGTGGAGATATAAAGGTTCAGAGCATAACTTTCATTAACAAGTGCTCACTGACCTCTATGTCAGGCAGTATTCCAGCCCTGGGATTGGAGAAGTGAACAAGGTGGACTAAAACGACCTTCTTTGTGGAGCTTACCTTTGTGGCTGGTGGTTATGATTGGGGTATAAGTAAGGGTTTCTGTGATGGACTAGGAAAGGGAAAAGTTAGTTTTTGCAGATATGATCAGGAAAAAGTGGCTATTTATCTCAATTGCAAGTGTTTGACAGAAGTTCAACCACAAGAACTTGGAAGGAAGAATTCTATAGCTTAAATATATTGGATTTATTTTAGTTTTGTTTCAATCTCCTGCATTTATTGGTACTAGAGAATTCTGTATTCAAGGTTACTTTGCTTGATGTTTTGGAAAAATAATTCTTTTCTAAAATGAATTATTTGTTTTTTGTGGACATAATTTTCTGTTGATTTTCAAAATTTTTTCAATTTGTTCAATTGAAGTAGACAGGATTTTTATAAATTATTTTAGCTATTTTTCTGTTCTTTTAAAAATTTATAATACAGTGGACCCTTGACTTGCGAACTTAATTCATTCACCAGGGCTGGTTGTAACTCATGTTGGTCAATTGAAGGCTCAGGCTCCCCTACACAGCCTTCAAAGTCTGTCTCTTGTATATAGGAAGATCTCAGTGTCCTTAGAGAGACATTGGCCCAGCATTTCTCAATTAACCCCACAGGAAAGGATGTAGTAATGTTCCTTCCAGAAATCTTTAAGGGTTAAATCTGTATCTGAGACCATCTGGAAGCACAAGTGGCCACGTTCAGGTCATAACTCAAGACTTTGTAAGTTAAAACTGAAATTCCGGTTGTAACTCAGGTTGTTTGTTATGTCAGGCTGATCATAACTTGAAGGTCCACTGTAGTTTTTTTCTTTAATTTTTTTTCTTATAATTTTCTGTATGCTATAATCATTATTTGCTTCAATGTCTTTATGTGCCTACAGTTAAAGTTTCCACTTTGCACTCTGTAATCACATGAGAACTTGAGAAGTGCTGCTCGTACATGTACATAATACATTATAATTCTTTTTTCATCTCCTCCTGTCCCCTTCTGTCTCCCTCCCTCCATCTCTTGGTCCTCCTTCCATTTGCAAAAGATCTATCTACGTGTTTCCTATTATCTATCTTTTATTTTGCTCTTTATATTTTGGGTTTCTCTTATAGGAGAAATCACATGATATTTAAGCTTGTATGTCTGGTTTATTTCACTTTACATTATGGTTTCAAGGTGCACCAACTCACCATGAATAATGTAATCATTATGTGCTGCAAACATGTACTAATAAAAAATAAAATTTGAAAAAAGTGTTTATGGCTGGCCCCTGATTGGTATGGAGGTACAGTCTTGATACCAGACTTTTCAAAGCTTCTCAAGTGATTTTACTTTGCAGCCTAAGTTGGGAAGCCATTGGGCTAAAGTACTGTATTTCAGAAGTAAATGAAAAAGACTTTGTCCTTTGGGAAAATAGATAACTATAGTTTTCTTTAGTGATGTGATAGCTCTGTTATCTTAAATTTCTAGCATAGAATGAAGTGAAATCATTAGAATTGAGATGATGTAATGTTAAGCACTTTCACCAAATTGTAAATGTAACATTTATATATGGAGAATGTAATTTTTAAATTATCAAATTCCTGTGTGGATGAAGGGAAAAGATAGGCATTTTTATTTTGAATTTTATACAGATCACAGTTATTTTTCTCATAGTTTGTTAGAAATCAACAAATTCCTTTTTAGAGACAATTATAGTTAGGTGTACATTGTTTTCAAACTCTTGTTAACTTTATCACCTACTTTTAATGGACTAAGTACTCTGAAACTGTAAATGGAATGAGGGAAAGGTTAGAAGTAAGGCTAGAAGACACAGGAAGATCATGTGAATTTTGGGAAATTGGTGAAGACGGAACAGAGAGAAGGAAGGAATAAAAACAAAAACAGAGGGGCTGGAGATTTAGCTCAGTGGTTCTGGCGCCTGCCTCGCAAGCACAAGGTCCGGAGTTCAATCCTCAGTACCAAAAACCCCAAAACAAAAACAGAACAAACTGACAGCAACAGAAAAACCAGAAACTGTATTCTTCCTAGTATAAAAATATGAACAACTGAGAAAAAAACAGGACAAAAGCAGGGACAAGAAAGTCAAGAAATGAAGAAGAAGGAGAAAAGAAAAGAAGAAAAAATTGCCCCCTGAAGGTGTGTCTCTGTTGTCCCGGGTGGACAATGTGGGTGGGTAGCAAGTAGCATACAGATCTGTGTCCACCGATCTCAGTGAGCCAGGCATAGTCCACTGAATTTCAGCCTGGTTTCTGGCTGTGAGGATGGAATTGAGCTCCCAGACCTCCTTTGGGTTTGGACTCTGCACAGTTGTACTGCAGGTTTGAGCCGCCCTTCCCCCATGGCAAGTCAGGTTCCCATAGGAGGTATTGACCCCAATAACTCACCAACTGCTGCAGTCTGCTATGCCTTTGTTAAGGGGACTCTTTGCTCTCCCAGTGAGCTTCAATTCTCAACAAGCCTTGGAGAGGCCTTCTCTCTGCTGCTCACCACTGTGTCAATTCCTGGGCTCAGAATGATGGCCTTCTGGATCCCTGTGCTACACTGCTGTCCTGGCGGGTCTCTGGCTGGGGCCTGTACACTCTTACCAGTGGTGTCTGGGTGGGCCTCTCCATAATCTGTTTTACATGCTTAACACAGTACCTGCCCACTATTGGTCTGTAATAAAAATTTCCTAGCTTTGATGTTGGATTATACTGAGAAATTCTAGTGAAATGAGAATGAGGTTCTAAATTTTCTTTAATAATGAGTCTTATTAATAATGAATATTGGGGTATATGAGTTATGTTTTATGTAGCTGAATATTTTTGAATTTCTTATAAACCTGATAATCTCTGAGTAACGGTATTACCATATCTTGTTTATCATAATAGGTTTAATTTTTTATTGTGTTTAGGGACATTTTACAGCTACTCAAAAGATTCTAACATGAAGGGAGAAATCAGAAAGTTAATAGTATAGAATTGCAATCTAGTATAGTTGGGGCATGGGTTCATATGTTCACAATGCAGATACAGCATGTCCTGTAGGCCATGTAGAGTATAAGCTACATCAAAGTAGTCCGTTAATAAAAAAAGTTAGTTATGTTCTGTGTGTGCAAATGAGATTATCATAGTAATGACTCCTCCTATTTCTGCCTTTCAAAATGATTCTCATTTTGTAAGGCACAGTTCATATGTGATCTGCTTTATGACGTCCTCTTCTCTGTCCCCTTAGAAAGAAATCATTTCTTTGCATTCACTTAGAAAGCAGTCTCTACCCTGTTGGTTATTTCACCATCTCTTATTAAAAGCATTGCTGCAGTTACATTTTAGGTATTGAGTGGAAGTTAGTTTGGGTTCCTGGTTACAGGACTCTGGTTTTGATATGAGAAGGATCTTCATTTTAATTTCTGCTTTGTCACTTTCTTTATAGACTGACAAAATTTTTTGTCATTTCTTGAGCTCCATTTATTTATCTGTAATATGGTGCTAAAAGCTTCTACCTCATAGACTTGCTAAAAGACTAAGTAGTATAACTGTCTAAGATGCCAGGTGTTTGATAAATAGTAGTGAATTTTGTTATTCTTGTCATTGCTTGTGTATGTTACTTATTGTATATAAAAATTTAATAAAACCTCCTCCACTAGATTGTGTGCTCTTTCAGGATAGTGAACCACACTTTGACATTTTCTATAAAGTTTAGTAAATTGACAAATATTTATTGGTCGAAATACATTATTTTTTGTCTTTACTTAACTTTTACAATGAAATAGTGTTGGCATATACCAGAAAGAAAATTTTCTAAAAGTTGTTGTCTAAATGATTTTGTTTAAAAATCTCCACAGGTACCTTTTTAGCCCATAATTTGTGTCTTGAAATCTGAGGATTCCACCAAGATAATATGATAGGAACTTTCAGTTATTTGGGGTTGTATCCTACTTAGACTGATGCGGTACTACCAGATTTCCTGAGAGTTTGCTACAGAGGTGCCCACTGCTTGTTAACTGCCACAGGCGATAATGCCATCTCTGCCCCAAGAAGGAGGTAAGCAGATTGATGTTAGAAATTATGAACATGTTAGGGATAGTTTTTGTTAATTTTTTAAAACATTCAAATTATTTTTGAACTTTTAAGATAATCATAATTTGTTTTGTGGTGGGAGGGAGTTATATTTCTGGTGTAGACTTTTAAAAAATTACAGTAATATTTGATTGTTTACCTTTTTTTAATAGTTATCCAGGCACCTTCTCCCTTGAATCTGAATACAGAATTACCTTATCAAAACACCATGAAAAAGAAAGTCAGAAAGAAGAAAAAGAAGGAAATCATTACAGCGAATGTTGCTGGGACAAAGTTTGAAATTGGTAGGTCTCTTCAGAATTAGAGGATTTTCGTAACTGTTGGAAAAATTAATTTGGTGTTGAAAATTGTATAGAATTTCAGAGAGATAACTATCTTTTATGTAATAGATTTTTTTACTGCCTTCTATGAAGTTTATGACATGCTGGAGGAATTCTTTTCCAATGCAGTGGAGGATGATTCCTCTCAAAAGATGTTAATTGAGTTTTATAATTTCATTTAAAACAAAAATGCAGTTAAATAGTTTAGAAGAAAAAGAATTGAAAATGCAATACCTGACCGTTTCCTTAAAGGAAAAGTTCTCAAGCTTGGGCATTGATAATGAAAGAAATTTATGTAAGACTTATAGATTTGATTTTATGAATATAAAAATAGGGCTTTTCCACTATTCTCTTTAAAAATTTTATTGATACACTTTTGATATACATAGTGATGAACTCATCATAGGGAATTTGTACCTGTACGTGATATATTTTGATTCTTTTTTTCCCTCATTTTCCTCTCCCCTTCAACCCTTCTTCTCTCCCTTATTTGCAAAAGCTTTGTTTCCATTTTTCCCTTCTGTTCTTATGTAACCTGTATGTTACCAGCTCCCCCAGCTTGTGTGAGGCTCACCAGTGGGTTGGAGATGCTCATTACATCCGCTCCCTCCACAGTTTCCAGGAGTTCTACTTATTTTGTCTGGGTCTTCTCTGGTATCTTTGACAGTGTCCAGAAAGGGTCTCTCATTTCCTCAGGGATAGGTCTGATCCTGTCCTAGTCTTCTGAAGTCCTCATTGTTTTCTGGGTGTGAGCCCAGTTATAGGAATCTCCCAGGCTGTGGTGAGGTTGCCTTTGCACTCTGTTAGGTAGCACACAGCTGCCGAGCCCCAGGGTGCCAAGGCTGCATGGTGGTCTGCAGCCTAGGAAAGGCTGTGTTTGTTGTGGTCACCTGGGGCTTCATTCCAATTCCAGGCTTCTCCTGGAAAACAGCAGCTTCACTCGCCTGTCCCCTCCATGACTTCATCTTCCCCCATTCTTTTGGTTATCAGTTTTGAACACAGCTAAGTCATTCAAACAATTGATATCATTTCTTCTAATATAGAAGGTACTCATAAAAAGAGAACTTTTAAAAACAAAACATTAAAGTAGTGCTATATAGGTATACCGTTCTGTGAGGACTCTGAATTCTGTTGGAACCCAAAGTTTACCCTAAGTGTAGTCCTTATTTTTATTTGAAATTTGAAATTTGGTGGAAGGAAAGTGGCAGTATGTTGACTGTGAAATCTAGATCTGAGAAGAACACATAAATAGATTTTACTCAAAAAGAAGCCTTTTTCTTTTTTTTTTTTTGTATTAAATTCTTTTATTGGTACATTGTAGGTATACAACACAATTACATTTCTCATTGGGAATTGTACCTTTATATAATGCATCTTGGTTCTTATTTTTTCCCCATTCCTAGCCCTCCCTTCACGCCCTCCGCCCTTCCCTATTTACAAAGACTTTATTTCCATTTTTTCAATTTCTCATCATTTTTTCCTTTCCCCTCTTTCCTTTCCCCTGTGCCTCCCACTACCCCTACCCCTTTGGACCTTTTATTCCTATTTTACATTATCGATTATTCTAATAATTGGTATATTTTAGGTATACAATATAATGACATTCATCATTGGAAGTTTGCACCAATACTGAATAGTTTCTCTGGTGTGAGAAACTGAAAGTGCAAATAAGGACTAAATGTATAATAGGTTATGTGAAATAGGAAGAAAAGGGGCAAAGGGGAAGGAAGTAGGAGGGCTAGGGGAAAGGATAGAAGGGAATGGGATTAATATGAGAAAATGGAAAAATAGGAACAAAATTTTTGTAAATAGGGAGGGCTGGAGGGGTTGAAGGGAGGGCTGGGCAAGGGTGAAAAACAAGAACCAAGAGAGACTATGTAAAGGAAGCCTTTTTCTGAGCATGAGTTTTTCAGTAGGATTACAAGGTCAGGAATACAGGAGGATCAATATGCAAATCTTTCCTGTGAATTCCTCTGTATTTCATATCCTGAGTAAACAAAGATAACTTGGATTAAGTGCCAGCAATAATTTCAGCTAGGGAGGTGGAAAGTATAAGGTAGATCTGATGACCAAGGGCTATTTTGACCCTTGCCCTTGGTTGTCTAGCTCCAGGTTATGAAAAAGCCACGAAAGTACATTCTCCTGAGTAGAGTTCTTGTCTCAGCTATCTGTATTTTCCTGGTGCTAAAATTAATGACTGTGTCCTTTGGCAGTTTTGTGTACCTGTTAAATTTGAAAGGATGAAAATTAAGGAATGAGGTGCCATATAATATTGTTCTCAGTTACTACAGAGAATAATTTGGTCCCAGATAAAACTGTTATAATGAAAAATATGAGTATGCTATAACTAATGGATATTTTGCAAACAAAACACTGTGAACTAATATATTACATTATGTGTAATATATATATTATATATATATAGTTTCCACAATGACTCTATTTCAAAAGTACTTTAATTCTACCTTAACTGTTTACTTTCAGTTCGTTTAGTAATAGATGAAATGGGATTTATGAAAACTCCAGATGAAGATGAAACAAGTAACCTTATATGGTGTGATTCTGCTGTTCAGCAGGAGAAGATTGCGGAGCTACAAAATTACCAGGTGGGAAATTAATCACGACAAATTATTGGTATGAGGAAAGTTATATGAATTCCGTGATAGTTTTCTTTATATAAATTCCTAATGTGTTGACATATTAGAGTTCAGTTCTAACTCCTGAATAGCTGTTTTATTGCTACCCAGTTTGGCTAACTTTCGCATGAAACTTTCGTCCCTTTCAAACTTTAAATTCTTCTTTAAAGAAGAATTAAGAAAAAAAAACCACCCTTACTAAGATTGTGCTTTGCATTACACATAAATACGAGTGTTGAAATAGATTGCATAGGGAGATGAGGATGTGGAAGTAACTTGTTTTGTCAGTTTTATGTAATCTGACGTTTTTGTAATGTAATAGAATCTTGTATTCAGGAGAAAATAAACATCAAATTAAAAATCTAAATACAAACAAATTTAGAAAATTGTGATTTTGTATAGTCTTTCATCTACTGATTTAGAGATTAGTACACAATTGATCAGAGAGAACAAATATTATAACTCTGGTTTATTATTTTTCTACAGTGACTATCTGTATAAAAATAGTAAATCTAGTATACCAAAACAATTTGCATATTGATTTACCATTTATTCAATGATGACCATTAGAACATTATCATCTATGTAATCTTTTTCTGATTCTTTTGAAATTTTATTCTCTGATTACTATAGATGTTTTGATTCAGAAATTAATTATAGGCCACTTAATTTTAATCTTTTAAAAGTTGTCAGTTTATTAAGATATAGAACTCGAACGGCAGACTTAACTGCATTATAGTATAAATAAATATATTCATTAAGTCAATGAGAATAATTATCTTTTTATTTTCCAGAGGATCAACCATTTTCCAGGAATGGGGGAGATCTGTAGAAAGGATTTCTTAGCAAGAAATATGACCAAGTAATCTTCATTTTTTTGTAATAGAGAACTGTTAAGAATTTATGTTTTGAATATTGCAGTATTATCTTGTATAAAATTACATTGCTTTGAAATGGTATTTAGATTGAAGAAAGAATTCTAGTGCTAGAATGACCTTAACAGTCTCCTATTCTAATCCTTCACTTTACAGAGGAGATAATTGGAGGTCAGAGAAATGAATAGCTTGCACAAAGTCAAATAAATAGTGACCAGCACAGCTGGTCAGAATCCCAGTCTCCAGAATCTCAGCTCTTTTAATTGCACCTTGCTGTCTTTTTTTTTTTTTTGTACCAGGGGATTGAACTCGGATCCTTGTGCTTTCAAGGCAGGCAGTGGAACCACTGAGCTAAATCCCCAGCCCCAACCTTGCTGTCTTTTAAGTAACAGAATTTTTTCTTTTAAATAGAAGAGCTAATTTGTACATAGCATTCAATAGATACTTATTTTCAGTTTAGCCTTGAAGAAACTAATTTGTTGCAATTTATGCTGTGTGTGTTCACTTTGGTTATTGTACATGTAGCGTGTGTGAGGAACTGTACTAGGCACATGTGGGTGTACATACACATAGCTACATGTAAGCATGCCTACTTGGGCATATGTATGCATGTGTTTTTATCTCTGAGGCCACTATTCACTGTAATGGCATACTTTCATGAGAAAACTGTTAAAAGGTACTCATATGTTTTGCTGAATGAACTGGAGAATTTTTGTATAGTTTATATTTCTGTTGGTTAGAATATTTAAAGATTTCTTTTACTTTAAGAATGTGATAGGTAAATGGTTTTTTAAAAAAGAGGACTATTCATATTAGTCAATTCATGTTATAATTAGAGAAATATTAATATGATTTTATGTGAAAGTTTATAATTATGTACTTACTCAACAGTTTTTTGGTAGGTGTAGTTTATGTTCCAGAGACTACCAATTTTTAAGAATTCAAACTAGAATTCAGTTTTTAGTAAGGGAGGAATACCACTAATATACACACCAGTTTGATGATGCCATGTTAGGGTTATGTAGTGACAGAGATGGTGGGAGAAGTCACTGTTATGAGTACAGGGGAGGCTTTCTTGCATCGTTAAAATGGTAGTAGGAGGAAGTGTGCAGGAGTTTGTCTTTATGAAGGAGATAAGGAGATTGTAGGCAGAGATAGCTGTGGGAGAAGATACATGGCAGCTTGAAGCAGCATAATTTTGGGGACCTTAAAGCAGTTCCTGTAGATACATAGGATGTTAGGAGGCTCAGCCTGATGAAGCTGAAGATACATATTCCATGTTATCATGTTTTATTTCTTCAGTCATCTCATTCAGTACTCAACACACGTGTACACACATGTGTGTGTGCACACACATATCACTGCTGAGAGAAATACAAAGCTTTTGAATGAGTTTAAGCAGAGAAGTGTTTTAGAAAATTGTGGTGGCACTGTGGATAGTGAATTCATTGGAGATAGAACTAGAGAGAGAAAGCGTTTGAGAAGATGATTGTCTGTATCTGGACAGGAAGTAATGAATGTCTGGTGCACCACAAAAGTGATAGTGGAAGTGGGGGAGGGAGAATAAATCTGAAAGATACTAAAAAGATACAATTGATAGGATTTGAAAACTGCTGTGGTGTGAGAATTAAAGGTGGGGAAGGGAGAAGTCTTCAAGTTGACTCTTAGGTTTCTGGCTTGGATGTTATGTAGGTACCAGTAGTTTGATTTCAGAGATTACATGGAAAAAAGGAATGAGCTTCAGAAAGAAAGGGAATTACTTCCTTCAAGTTTGGGACGTATGTTTCACTTGTTACTTAATATGTTTGTTATGTGCCTAATATATACCAGGCATGGTGCGGGGCTCTGAGCACATGAGCTGATCAGAAGCAGACTTAGGTTCCTATAATATTCAATTGCAACTTTGTTAAGTGCTCTGAAGTAGAGTACATAGTTCTATAGTGGTGTGTGGAAAAGAACTCTGATCTAATTAGGGAGATTTGGGAGTATTTCCCTGAGGAAGTGATGTGGAAACTGATACATGAATGATGAATAGGAGCTTACTGGTGCAGAGGGTAGGCAAGAACCATCCAGGCAGGAAGAATAGCATGAGCCATGGTCATACAATGGGAGAAAACATGAATAATCAAGATGCTGAAAAAATACTAAGTGCAGCTGGAGCACAGAGATATGGATGGGGAAGGGGGAGAGATAAGGTGAAGGGTGATGTTCAGAATTACAATCTATATCTGGATGTCGTATGGGAGGTAGGGATGAGACAGAGTAGTAGTGATTTGACCAGATTTGCATTGTTCAAAGATCCTTTCTGGCTGCTTTGCAGAGAATAGTTTGTATGATTCAAAGAGTCAGAGGGTAAGCAGTTTCCCATTCCTTAGAATCCTTGGAACTGTTCTTAAGGATAAAATATTTTTCTATTAGAAAAAAATGTTATGACCTAGTAATACAAAGTGAACTAAATTACTCATTTAATGTCATTTGGTAACTCTGTGATAAAACAGAAATTATCTGACTGCCAGATTCTTAACTAAAGGTATTTCTTTTCAAGATAGATTACCTAAATGGAATAAACTATTCCACTTGAATATATGTGTGCTAAAATTTTTTGCCAACATCCATGTCAGAGCATGAGACCATTTTTATTTGTTTTTTTGGTACCTGGGATTGAACTTGGGTCCTTGTGCTTGCACAGCAGGTGGCCAAACCACTGAGCTAAATCCCCGGCCCTATGAGACCATTTTTAAATGTCACGTGGTTAGTTTTAAAATGTATTTTTTTGATTAAAGCTGTAATGTGATCTAATTTTATATCATTGTTAGATATGTAGTAAATATTTTTCAAGGTGTTGGAAGCAAAAACAGCATTAGCACTGTTATTGTTTCCTTTCAATTTTTTTTTTTTTTGGTTTGTGATTTTCAAACCACTTAATATTAGTTTGTAGGCTTTAAATGGATTAGAAAGAAGTTGGTAATTATTTTCCATCTCATATTGGTAGCATAAATTTTTAAATGATTCTGGTGAAAGAGCACATAAAATATGAAACTATGACTTTCCAGGTACATAATCCAAGCCGTACAAACTAGTCTTGGAAATTAGGCTCTACTTCTGTGCATAGTGTACACTATGATTCCATTTTTAACTTTTACCAGTCTTGTTTGGGGACAACATCTGCTTATCTATAAAAGATTTACACATATTTAGAAAAACTTCTTTTTAAACAATCAGATTTTTCATAATAGGCATGATTTTGACTTTTTTCATAATTTCTTTATTTTGGAGGGAATCAGTATTACAAAATAACACTTGGGATTAATCAAAAATAAACATTTTATAGTGAGTATTATCTATAAATTATGTGTCAAATAGGCAGCCTAATTTATAGCAAATACAGAAACATCACTGCATGCATTGTAGCTATATAATTATCTGTATAGTAGTTCATATATAAAACCTGTGTACACTATCATAAGCTGTCATGTAGTTTTCTTAGAAAAACAGTTACATTTTCAAAGTCAGTGGCATAAAAAAGGATCACAGGCTGCTCTGAATGGATGACCCAGTAAACCCAAAAATCATGTTTAAAGAGAGAATATGAATGGCAGTTGGCCTTGAAACATACTCTACTCGCTAACCCCGCACATGAGACTGATTTAATGACTCCTACATATTACCTTGTCTTACCTGCTGTCAGTGTATTTATAACATTGGTTTGTAATTAATGGCCTATTTGTAAATTCATCAGGGTCAGAGACCACACTAATTTATTTTAATATCACCAGTGTTCAGCACAGCATGCAGCCCGATCTTTGCAATGTAGTAATACTTAAATTAGTACTTAACAGGGCAGAGATTTTTGTCTGATTTTTTCCACTGATGTATCCATGTGTCCAGTGTCTAGTACATAGTAGGTGCTTAGGCAGGGTCTATTAGCAAATAGACAATATTGACTGGATCAATAAATGAAGGAATGGAAGGAGTTTTTTTAAGTCTTTGTAGTATCACTAGCTCAAGGAAATAAAATTTATAAAGTTTGAATAGAAATTATTTTTCAGATTGTCTCTGCTTTACAGAATGATCAAGTCGCGTCCTCTGGATTACACCTTTGTTCCTCGAACATGGATCTTCCCTTCTGAATACACTCAATTTCAGAACTATGTGAAGGAACTGAAGAAAAAGCGGAAGCAGAAAACCTTTATAGTAAAACCAGCTAATGGTGCAATGGGACATGGGTAGGTTTATTTTTTCTTGAAATATATAAAAGATTTAAAGATGGAAGAAAAAGAATAAATGTGCATAATTATACAGGTCGAGTGCCATTATGAAAAAATAATGAGTTTCTTACTCTTACTTGTTTGGGACTAAATCTTTAATGAGCCTTGTTCTTCTAGCATGTCTCACAGGCTTCAGTAATTCAATTTAAAAATTAAATCAACAAATTGTGAGACTTTAATAGATAGAAACATAAGAGAAAAACTTTTTAATTTCTTCATAAACATTTATAATAATTTGAATATGTTTGGAGAATGAAGTAAATTACTATAGTAGAGCTAAATTAATTAACCTGGAGAAAGAAATGGAAAAGGGAGTTACTCTTTTTATAGCCCAAATTCTTAAAGCAAAATATGTATGTTCTTTGCTTTATACTTATTTTTCTTTTTGTAGCCATGGTAATTGGATTTAAAATAAAGTAGAACACATCTTAAGGTAGAATGCCAAGAACTAAAAGTGTTGGCTGAGAATAGAACATGCAAACCTAAACTTCTTGTTTGCTTTTGCTTACTTATGTTGAGTTTTCTGCAATGCACATTTTCAAAGAAAATATGCTAAGGCTGTTTTTAATAAAATATACTTGAACCATTTTAATTTTTTAATTTGAAGCCTATGTGATAAAAGAATACTTGAAAATTTCTGTGGGATTAAAAATACTTGAAATGGTAGCTACCAGATTAAATTATTGTTCAAGAAATTTGCTTTAACTTTTAAGCATAAGAATTCAATCAAATACTATTTTAAAATGTGGTTTGGTAATTTAAAAATAAACAAGTGTGTGATTTTATATTACTTGTTCAATGTTGACTTTCTTTTTGGAGACAGAGTCTTGCTTTATAGTTCAGGCTGGGCTCAAACTCACTGTGTAGCCTAGGCTGGCCTTGAACTTGCGGCGGTCCTCCTGCACCAGCCTCCTGAGTGTTGGCTATTAACTTCTTATATGTTAGTATAAAAAGAAAATTTGAGGAGGAGGATAATTGAATTTTACATTTTAATCTATTTGTTAAATTTAATATTAATGTTTATATTTACATGTTTATTTTTATTGTTGAATCATACATAAGTAATAACCTTCCAGCTTAATCTTCCAGTTGCTTTTGATGACAGTATAGGAAGTAACTGGTGAATGCTGGTTCACACTCACCTTCAGTACTCAAACAGGCAGTTTACAACTCTGCCTTCGCCTTCAGTTCTGCTTAGGTAGAGTTTCATGGTTAGCCAGAGATGAGAGCTTAGGGCCTTCTCAGATCTTAATGCATCGAGCTTGGACATATGCATTGTCTTCTAACTCCAAAGGAATAGTTAGAGCTTTACAAAGATTCAAAGAATTTCATCTCCTAGCATTTGCTTAGTTTTTTTAGTTATTCTCTTGTTTGCTACTGAGTGTTATCTTTTGGCCTAGCCAGCAGGGATATTTGCTTTAAATGTTTTCAACAGTTGTTCCTCAGGGTAGGTACCTTAGTACTAGTAGTTACAAGTTACACAAGATAAAAGCAAGCCAGTCCCAGGCAGGTCAAAATAAACACAAGAGTAAAGCCCATTCCGTGGATGCAGGAACTGGTATAGCACTTTTGCTGGGAATGTGGGCTGTTGTTTAAGGCCTCTGCTGAAATGGAATTTAGTGGTGGAATGAGAGTAACTTAAAATGCCAGAGGGTTTTTTTTTTTTTTTTGTACATCCAGCTGTTTTTTTCTTGATTAATTATTTTCTGGATATTGCAAACTTTTAGCTATTTATATGATTCCAAAAAGTTGATTTTTTTTTTTTTTTTTTTTTTTTTTTTGCTATTCATCGCTTTTGTGGAGGGATTGATGTTGGAGCTTCTGATTGCACTGTTTTCCTCTTTAGTGAGTACATAGATAACTTTTTGAACATCTTGCCTCTAGATCGAATTATTCTTTTTGTTTTTTTCTTTACACTTAGGATTTCATTGATAAGAAATGGGGATAAACTTCCATCTCAGGATCATTTGATTGTTCAAGAATATATTGAAAAGCCTTTCCTAATGGAAGGTTACAAGTTTGATTTACGAATTTATATTCTGGTAACATCCTGTGATCCACTAAAAATATTTCTTTACCATGATGGACTTGTGCGAATGGGAACAGAGAAGTACATTCCACCTAATGAGTCTAATTTGGTAAGTGACACCAGAAAGAATTTGTTTCATTCATTTGTTCAACATCTACTCTTAAAGCATCTATTATGTATAAAGATGTTCTGAATCAAAGTTCCTCCTCTCAGATTTTTATGGTGTAGAAGAATCATATGCATAAACAAGACGGCTTCTAACATATAGGAAACTTTGTGAAAATTAGCGAAAGTGGGTCTTGATGTAGGCAGGCTAATTAGGAAAAGGTACCTCTGATTACTGCAAAAACAAGGCTAGATTTCCCAGCGCACATTTGTGTGTCTTGGCCTTATACAGAAAGGACTGTGATAGAAATAAAAGTAACGTACCATCGAGTACGAGTACTAGTGCTAATGGAGCGTAGTTCAGCAATAGTTAAGTGTTCAGCTCCTCATGGAGGGGCTGGATTTTCAGTGGGTTTTGTATAGAAGAGTGAGGGTATGTGAACATGTAGCTTATGAAACCAAAAAAGTGTGAAATTTACCAAGTAGTCTTTAATTTTTATAGCACAAAAGATTGCAAATTTACACTGACCAAATGTGAAGTTGAAACATGAATTAGTCATATGCATTTAAAAAAATATTAACTGGAGCATTTTGAGTCATTTTTCCATTAAGATTTCCTTTTTGCTACTACAAGACATTCATAAAAACCATTACTAATTTATTATAAAAACCACAAACTGTAACTTACAGTTTATATAAGTTGAATTGTGATATATGATCTGTACTTTAAAATTTAGTTAACATCTAATGCTATTTTGGGATCTAGTAACTATAATAAAAATCACAATTTATGTTTCTCAGTTTGTCAGAGGCCTGGTTGTTGTTCTCAATTATCATGTACACAATTACTTGCATTAAGATTGGTCATGTTTTCAAAATTATAGTGGCTGATCATAAATGTTGCTATGTTCAATAAACTGAAAATGCTGTAAATTTGACAAAGGAAACATGAAGGAACTGTCAAAGTTTTGATAGGAAAGGATGTTAACAGAAAGAAACATCTCCTTAAAGGTCACAAGGTGTGGATGTAGCCAGTCGCCAAATAATGTTTGAACTCTACTACATTCTAGGCATTGTGCTGGTTTTGGAAAAACAGTGACCAAGGCAGATATAGTGCTGGCCTTCAGAGAAGCAACATTCTAGAGGGGAGGCAGAAAATAAAATAAGCAATTATAATACCTGATAGTAAGTTTGATGGTCCGGGAAATTGAGGTACTATGGCAGTGCATAGCAGGGGCCCCTCACCCAGCTAAAGGTAAAGGATAGTGAGGGAGGTTGTAAACTAAAGTCTCAGTAGCGTGGAGCCAGCCTGATTTGGGTAGAGTAGGGTGCAGTTGGATGAAGCTCCAGGCAAGAGAGTGGCTTAGAGGTAAAAGAGACTGGACCATCTGGACAGGTTCGCATCGGCTAACGTACAGACTAAGAAGGAATGTCCGTTTAGATGAAGAAAGAGAGTCCTAGGAACCTGATCTTTCAGAACTTTCTAGGCCATGTGTAGGGTTTTGGAAGTTAAGATGAAGCAATGAAAGAAGCAATGAAATTTTTGTTTACAAAAAGGTCGATTGGTCTACAGTATGGGGAATGCGAGAAGGCAGTGGAGAAGGATAAGGCAGGCTAGAGTCAAAGAGACAAAAATCATATTTTAATCTGACCACATATGAGAGGAATTGTAACTTGGAATAATAGCAGTAGGGCTGGGCTTACAGGACAGATGTGCATTCGAACTGTATCTGAGGTAGCATTCATAAAATATGATGACAGGTTGGATTTGTGGAATGAGAAGAGAAAGGAAAATCAAGGCAAAAACTCAAATGTTTGTTCCAAGCCCTGGGGTTGTAGGGTATTTGTCAGTGAGAATGGAACACAGGTGCCATTAAAGGTTTTGTAAGAAGCTGATATGTTCCATTTAAATGCTTGTGTGACCATCAACAGACTGATTCTGTAGGCATTTGGATATACAGCATGGGCTTGAAGTTCAGCGAAGAGATCTGAGTGATAATATAATTTGAGAATTATCATCTCATAGATTATGATTAAAATAATTGGAGTTTTAAAATTAGATTACATATATGTAAGGAGGTAGTGATCTTTTGATACTTTTGGAGAGAGGAAGACTTGGAAGTCCTTTTAGATGGTAAAGTGCTTCATTCTTATGTACTAAGGTATTTTTATATCCTTTGCTTTAAATACACTGGATTAGGAAATCATAATGAGAGACAGGGAGAAGAGAAATGTGACCTATGTATTATTTTGCCAGATGCTTTTGGCAAATAAACATCTAGCTTTGTTTTTTATTCATTAAGTTTATTGGTACATTTTAGGTATGCGTTATGATCACATTTATCATTGGGTATTTGTACCTGTACGTGATATATTGTAGTTCTTGTTTTTTCCCATTTCCCTTCCCTCCCTTCCATTGCTCCACCCCTCCCTATTTACAATTATATAAAAGATAAGTTTAAGAAAAAAAGACTTGAAAAAAACCATAACAAAACAAAATGCTTTCACTGGTCAATTTTAAGTGGCGGAATACTACATGATTTTTTCTTTGTATTTCCGATTTTTAGAAAAAAATATTTTGTAATGAGTGGTGCATTTCTGTGAGAATTAAATATTCTTAAATTACAGAGATAATAAGACAGAGTTTCAAAGGCTGAAATGTAATGAATGGTTTTTTTGTGTGTTTTTTTTGCTGCCGTATAGTGGTTGGCCAATCCCTAAAAATTTCTGTCTATGCTAATTCATTATGTTGAACCTATATACTGACAGGCAGAATAGGGTATGAGTTTTATTATTTTCACCCCTTTCAAGTGGTTATGTGGTTAATAACTTCCTTCACATCTATACTTGCTCCTTAAATATCATTTAGTAAATACATACATTCTTAATTAGTGATAACCACATGGACTTTTCAACGTGTAACTAAGCCTTCATTTCTATTTACTTTTAAAATTTTATTACAGCAGATCTAAGGAACTGTAGCAAAAATAAAGTAAAACATGACTGCAGTTATTATTAAGAAATCAAAATAATAATCAGGTGGATGAAATATGTATTCATTCTAATGCAATAGTTTTATCCAAAGTAATCTTTGGGAGAAGGATAATGAGGAAAGTTGGAATTAAAGATAAAATTTGAGGAATATTTGTGTTAGCTTGATAAGGAACCATTCAATGTGTATTAAATGACATGAGAAATTTAAATTTTGGATTATTTTCAAGTTTATTTAAGGAAAACCATATCAACACATTTAAGAATAAAGAGATCAGAGCAGGGCATGGTGATATGTCCCTATAATCTTAGCACTAAGGAGGCTGAGGCAGGAGAATGGCCGTGAGTTATAGGCCAGCGTGGGCTACATAGTGAGTTGAAGGCCAGTCTGAGCTACTTAACAAGACCCTTCTCAGAAAACTAGAAAAGAAAAAAAAGAATAAAAGAGACCAATTAATTGTAAGAAACCCTGGTATGGAGCATGGTGCATTTCCTGTTAATCATTCAGACATCTCTACAGCATTATGTGTGGCATTCCCTCTCTGGGTGTCCGTGGAATACAGTGGCCTCCCAGCCAGTGCCACATAGAGGGGTGAGTCTGGCAGTCCTGCCTCTCAGTCTGTGCTGTATACTAGGGCTTTCATATTTTTACTTTTCTTTTAAAAGATGTGGAAGCCTTTTTCAGAAAATTCCTTTTCTCAAACAAATTTGAGTGTATACTGTAAGGGCCCAAAATGTTAAAAACAAATAAAAATAAATTTGGAGCATTTTTCTTCCTTAGCAATATGGAACTTTGTATTTTAATTACTTTCTATATTCATATTTGTTTAATATTTTTAATGGTAGATAATATTGTGAATGATATTTAAAGTGATTCTGTAGATGATTACATTCTCAGGTCTTTCAAGGAAAATCTGTCATTCCATTTTACTTGAAAATTAACTAACCATGAGGTTGTTCATTTGTATTGTTTCAACTTTAAACTTGTTAGTCTTGGAATGCCTTCTTTTCTGTGGGCCCATAAAGCTGTAGAATCTCATAGGTGGTAACTACTTTGGTTCTTGCTTGTTGCAGACCCAGTTATACATGCATCTGACGAACTACTCTGTGAATAAGCATAATGAGCGTTTTGAACGGGATGAAACTGAAGACAAAGGCAGCAAACGCTCTATTAAATGGTTCACTGAATTTTTACAAGAAAATCAACACGATGTTGCTAAGTTTTGGAGTGATATTTCAGTAAGATTATCCCATTCCACAATTGTAACTGTCTTTTCTTAGTGTCAATTTAAAATGCCGTCAAGTATTTTAAATAAAGAACAGATTACATTCACTTGGGCAGATAAAGAACATTTTCATGAAGGAAGAGGTCTTTGTGATTGACCTTGATGAAAAGGATTTCGCTGCTAGGGAGAGAGGAATTTTAGGTGAAGATGGAAGCCCACCTGAAGGCATGAGAGTATGAGAATCTTGGTAGGTGGCTCAAGTGGTCACAGATTTGTGAGGACTTATTAATGCTGAAGAAATTTGTGGAGATAAAACAGTGGGGATTTGTGCAGTTTTTAATGGAAGAAAGACATATGACCAAAAAAATACCCACCCTCATGTATTTAAAAGACAAATTTGAGAATATGAGTAGGATACATTAAAGCAAAGACTGAGAGTAGGTAGAGAGGACATGTGGGAGGCTCTTATAAGTAGCTGAAGTGAAAAGAATGGTCTGAATTGGATCACGGTGAATGAGGTGACAGTACGGTAAATGCTGAGATTAAATGTCCAGGGTGGAGAATTTCAGAGGTTCTCCTGAAGTTCAAGGAAGAATGGAAGGTAGAATGAATGTGGCATTGTCTGAAATAGAATAGGAAGGAATTTATTTTAAGATGTAGAACTTGATTTTGAAGTTAAAAAATGTTTTATTCACTTACTCATTGTTCATTTATTTAATACATATCATGAGCCTGTCTCTGGTTGATAAATTAAATATCTAGAAGACACAACTCCAGTCCTCAAAACACTTATCATCTGGTAAGAAAACATGCACATGAATTTCTATAAAATGCAGTGTAGCAAATGCATCAGCAGAGGCAAGAATTGGGTTCTGTGGGGTGTAGAGGAAGACCACATATAGTAGCTTCAAATGAAATGGCTAAAAGAATCTTCCTGGAAATGTTGACACTTGATTTGAGGTTTTTAAAGTACCTGAGTCTGTGATGCTGAGTTCCACTGTAGATATGTTGAACTTGAAATGCTGCCTCAGGAAAATGGTCAAGCATGCAGTTGACAAAGCCATGTCAAGGCTGAAATTCCAAAGGATGATAATGAAAGCGAAACTAGGTGTAAAGATAACCTTGGCAAAGTAGATCTTGTATCAGTCCTAGCAGAAGTAGTAAAATAGTATTTAAATTTAGATGGTTATGTCCGTTGAAAATTCTTAATATGATTAGGTTATACAATTCAATTTAGCTTTCTTTTAGCAACATATAAGATATTGTTTAAATAAATCTTGGAAGATGGCTGTGAAGGTTCAGAGTTGGTTGGACTTGGTTTTCTCTCATCAAGAGAATCAGAAAGAAAAGTCAGTATCATTATATTTATTCACTGGTTGATTGTCTTATTGGTTGATCATCTACCTTTTCATAGCATAGGCTGTAAATCCAAATGTCTTTAGGGTCAGAGAAGTAAGGAACATCTAGGAGTGATTTAGTGAAAGACAGAAGAGCTGGAAACCTTGGGAAGAGGATGAGAGTTCCAAGTGGGGTAGCTACTAATCAGAACCAGCCTGTCGGTTACCTTGGGTTCCGTGTGGCTCATTCTGTTAATTTGTTAACAGAACATATTAGTGATTTACAGTGAATTTTAAAAAATATAAAATTCTGCCATCTGGATATGGCCAGATGCCTACAAATTTGTTACTCTTCTATTATATCTTCCAGAGAGACTAAATATTCTAAATGGGAAATTTGATTACACAAATGCATGTTTATTTAACTTATCGAGGCAGTTCCAAAGACTATTCTAAAAATGGCAGTTTACTGTCTTAGTGGGTCAGAAGCATCCACTAAGCATGGTGAGATTTGTTATTTTTGGACAGTAACTTATTGATGAAAAGTTCTACCTAATGATAACTAGGTGATTCAAGGAGTAAGTCCTTAGATTAACTCAGTTGTACCAAGGAAGTTTAATATACCCTCTGGCATTCTGTTTTTGCCTCTTTGTCCATGTGTGTTTTATTCTTTGTGAAATGTGGAAGCCATTGGGCTGTTTAGGGAAGAATGTGTAGAGACTCAGCTGGAGTGAAAAATCAGCCTTATTACCCTCAAAGACATTGGTTTGGATGTTACTTTCTCCTCACAGGGGAATTAAGAGGTGTAGAAGCCAGACTAACAATAATATGAAGGTATAGAAATTAACTTTTCTGTTACAGCCTAAAGCATAATTTTTAGATGTAACCTAAAAATAGTCAGAGTGGGCCTATTAAGTAATGACACATTTCGTGCTCTAGTCTGTAAATAGGTGAGCTTTGCATCATTCTTGACTATGTTAGTTAGAATATATATTAATAATCCATGGGCTGGGAATTTAGCTGAGTGGTTTGCCACCTGCCTAGCAAGCGCAAGGACCTGAGTTTGATCCCTGGTACCACCCCCCCCCCAAAAAAAAATCCATAAATGACAGTGAAATATTCAGTTAACTTTTCCAAGTACTGTATTGCAATTATCTTATCAATTTGTCTACAATTATGAAATTATCTGAATGTTTGCTTTAATAAGAATTGGTATACTTAATGCAGGAATATTTTTAAGGTGAATCAATGGAATAAAATAAAAAGAATTACAAGAGAAGCAGTGAAAGCAATTACCTAACAAATTTTTGTTTTAATGCTTTAGTTTACAAATTCTATGAATTTAACTTAAAACTTTTTTCAGTTATCTTTTTTTGGGTAATTTCTCTAAAAAATAACCATCTTCTGTATGTGTGTGTGTGTGTGTGTGTGTGTATATATATA